CCCACTGCCACAGGGGCTGCAGCCTATGCCGTCGCCGGCGACTCAAGGCAGCCCAGCTCCAGGTTGAGCTGCTGTTCAGCATCTTAGCTGTAGAGGGCAGTGTCACTGGCCTCTAACATATGTGGGATCCGTACCGGGGCCCTCTGGTGTCCCAAGCCAGCTCTTAACCAATGCGCCACTCGGGCGGCCCAAGAAATCTACATCTTAAAGTAGCACCCCCAATGGTTATTGACCAGAGTAAAATTTGAGGGGAAAAAAAACCAAACAAAAACTCTAAACGGCGTCTCACTTTGTTATAAATAATAATTTGGATTAGCTTACTATTATTCTTTGGTATTCTGAAATAAAGATATTTTGATAGAAACAGATTAGCTCTGTTTGTGATTCTCCATAAAGACAGTATGCCACACATAGCCCACAATGGACACAGGAACGACCCCGATTACTACCATTTACTATCCACAGAGGCAGCCACCAGAGCTGCAGGCCTAGCGCTTGGGAAGAAATAACTGGCTTACTGTGCCAAACACTGCACTAAACGTACAAAGTGAGGGGGCAACCCCAGAAATGGTTACTCTTCTTTGTGTTTACTCTCCTGATTTGTTTAAACTTTTTCAATTATTTAATAAACAGACCTTAATTGATCCAAGGGCCCCAATTGCTACTTCAGGTGGCAATATCAGTGGTTTGGCATAAGTACCACCAATCTAGAAAAAAAAGAAGAGTAGAAAATTAAGCTTTTGAAGAACAAATGGCAAATGAAATTTTATGTTTTTAATGGAGCATACGACCAGAAATATTAAGATATGGTTTATAAGTCTGAACATTACTATTACTCACTGATCCAATGTTGGAAAGAGTAAATGTTCCTCCTGTAAGATCATTCGTGCTGAGCTGACTCATGGAGCCCAATTTCTGGAGGCGGTTCAATTCAGTGGCGATCTCAAATACGGAACAGAGCTGAACATTTTTCACGTTAGGGACAATCAACCCCTGCTCAGTATCCATTGCTATCCCAATGTTATGAGAAGCCTAAAAAGAAAATTATACAGTAGGCTTTTTCATAAACTAACCTTCACTGTCTTAAAAAAAAAACAACTACCAAAAATTATTTCACCAGACTGGTGATGACTTAAAAGAAAAGATTTTTAAAGGATTTCAAAAAGATTTTTTGAAGAAGATAATTTTTTGTTGGTAAGAATATAGGGAAAGAGGCTATTTCTACACATTGTTAGTGGAAATGTAAGCTGGTATAGACTTTATAGAGAATATTTAACAATACATATCAA